ATGATGATGATGATGACGATGATGATGATGATGACGATGATGATGATGATGACGATGATGATGATGATGACGATGATGATGATGATGACGATGATGATGATGATGACGATGATGATGATGATGACGATGATGATGATGATGACGATGATGATGATGATGACGATGATGATGATGATGACGATGATGATGATGATGACGATGATGATGATGATGACGATGATGATGATGATGACGATGATGATGATGATGACGATGATGATGATGATGACGATGATGATGATGATGACGATGATGATGATGATGACGATGATGATGATGATGACGATGATGATGATGATGACGATGATGATGATGATGACGATGATGATGATGATGACGATGATGATGATGATGACGATGATGATGATGATGACGATGATGATGATGATGACGATGATGATGATGATGACGATGATGATGATGATGACGATGATGATGATGATGACGATGATGATGATGATGACGATGATGATGATGATGACGATGATGATGATGATGACGATGATGATGATGATGACGATGATGATGATGATGACGATGATGATGATGATGACGATGATGATGATGATGACGATGATGATGATGATGACGATGATGATGATGATGACGATGATGATGATGATGACGATGATGATGATGATGACGATGATGATGATGATGACGATGATGATGATGATGACGATGATGATGATGATGACGATGATGATGATGATGACGATGATGATGATGATGACGATGATGATGATGATGACGATGATGATGATGATGACGATGATGATGATGATGACGATGATGATGATGATGACGATGATGATGATGATGACGATGATGATGATGATGACGATGATGATGATGATGACGATGATGATGATGATGACGATGATGATGATGATGACGATGATGATGATGATGACGATGATGATGATGATGACGATGATGATGATGATGACGATGATGATGATGATGACGATGATGATGATGATGACGATGATGATGATGATGACGATGATGATGATGATGACGATGATGATGATGATGACGATGATGATGATGATGACGATGATGATGATGATGACGATGATGATGATGATGACGATGATGATGATGATGACGATGATGATGATGATGACGATGATGATGATGATGACGATGATGATGATGATGACGATGATGATGATGATGACGATGATGATGATGATGACGATGATGATGATGATGACGATGATGATGATGATGACGATGATGATGATGATGACGATGATGATGATGATGACGATGATGATGATGATGACGATGATGATGATGATGACGATGATGATGATGATGACGATGATGATGATGATGACGATGATGATGATGATGACGATGATGATGATGATGACGATGATGATGATGATGACGATGATGATGATGATGACGATGATGATGATGATGACGATGATGATGATGATGACGATGATGATGATGATGACGATGATGATGATGATGACGATGATGATGATGATGACGATGATGATGATGATGACGATGATGATGATGATGACGATGATGATGATGATGACGATGATGATGATGATGACGATGATGATGATGATGACGATGATGATGATGATGACGATGATGATGATGATGACGATGATGATGATGATGACGATGATGATGATGATGACGATGATGATGATGATGACGATGATGATGATGATGACGATGATGATGATGATGACGATGATGATGATGATGACGATGATGATGATGATGACGATGATGATGATGATGACGATGATGATGATGATGACGATGATGATGATGATGACGATGATGATGATGATGACGATGATGATGATGATGACGATGATGATGATGATGACGATGATGATGATGATGACGATGATGATGATGATGACGATGATGATGATGATGACGATGATGATGATGATGACGATGATGATGATGATGACGATGATGATGATGATGACGATGATGATGATGATGACGATGATGATGATGATGACGATGATGATGATGATGACGATGATGATGATGATGACGATGATGATGATGATGACGATGATGATGATGATGACGATGATGATGATGATGACGATGATGATGATGATGACGATGATGATGATGATGACGATGATGATGATGATGACGATGATGATGATGATGACGATGATGATGATGATGACGATGATGATGATGATGACGATGATGATGATGATGACGATGATGATGATGATGACGATGATGATGATGATGACGATGATGATGATGATGACGATGATGATGATGATGACGATGATGATGATGATGACGATGATGATGATGATGACGATGATGATGATGATGACGATGATGATGATGATGACGATGATGATGATGATGACGATGATGATGATGATGACGATGATGATGATGATGACGATGATGATGATGATGACGATGATGATGATGATGACGATGATGATGATGATGACGATGATGATGATGATGACGATGATGATGATGATGACGATGATGATGATGATGACGATGATGATGATGATGACGATGATGATGATGATGACGATGATGATGATGATGACGATGATGATGATGATGACGATGATGATGATGATGACGATGATGATGATGATGACGATGATGATGATGATGACGATGATGATGATGATGACGATGATGATGATGATGACGATGATGATGATGATGACGATGATGATGATGATGACGATGATGATGATGATGACGATGATGATGATGATGACGATGATGATGATGATGACGATGATGATGATGATGACGATGATGATGATGATGACGATGATGATGATGATGACGATGATGATGATGATGACGATGATGATGATGATGACGATGATGATGATGATGACGATGATGATGATGATGACGATGATGATGATGATGACGATGATGATGATGATGATGATGATGATGATGATGATGATGATGATGCTGTTCCCCCTGAACTTTTCCTCCAGAAAATCAGAGTCCTCTCCGAACCTCAAATAGCAAGGAATAACAACAGATATCCTTCATCTGTATCACCAGAGGCTCCAAATATTCAGAAAAAAATCAAACCGAGTTTAAAATCACGTTCACTCAATGAGAACGAAAAAGCCTGTGCTTCGAGGAAAAACCATGAGACTGGAAGTACTGATGGACCTCACTCTTCAAACTCTCATACTTCATCCACTAGAAACACTGAATCGGATACGGACAGTCTCCCGTTGTCAATGAGGATCAACAACGCAAAACTGGCAGCAGTCATCGTAGTGGAAAATGTTCCAGCTCCTCAGAGGAGGTCGTTGGGATTGAATGAAAATTTCGTTGTAACTCCAGATGAGCTCATGCAACTTCATTACGCAGAAATTCCTAAATCTCGAAGGGGCCGCAAACGTGGGTGAGCCGAAATTTTGACGAGGACTGATTATATCGATGAATTAAGTGAGAAGCGAAAGAAGAAGGAGAATCCCAAGACCAGGGGTAGGCCACGGGGTAGACCGAGTGGCAGAGGAAAGCGTAGGCTTTGAAGTCAATAATAGAAGCCAAGAAAAATTAAGGATGACATCTACCGGGGTGCACTTCATTTTCACATCTAAATAACTGAATAACATCTGAATAACACATCATATTGTCTAAATGAGTCATCTTCCGAGGAATATTTGGAGAACCTGATATGTAATCTAAAACATTTTTTATGAAAGTGAATGTCAGAGTCTTTGTGCAAAAATGATCCATTAGGATCCATTAGGATAATTCACCGTTTAGGGAGGGACATTAGGAAAACAAAGTTTCTCCCCAGGTAGCTTTAGACAGGCAAAAAAAAGTGTTGTAATTTACCTTTGTTAATTCGTAGATTAATTTATTTATAACATTTTTTGTTTAATGATTAATAAACTAAATCAATCGAAAATTTCATGAATTGTTTTTTTTTTCAATGAAAGGCTATATAAAAAAGTTCAATGGAGCCGTGAGTGGAAGAATTCACAATTATTTCATTTTGCCCCCGTATTTCACTTTGCCCCGTCATTTCATTTTGCCCCGGTCTCCCCTAAGAGTATAAACTTTGCGTCGTCCAATAATTATAAATTCTAATAATTTTAGCTCTGATTTTAATGTGACAATGGAAACGTCCTTTCGGCGCTAAAATCTTTCTCCGGACATAACACAAAAAAAATTCAAAATCAAAGTCGCGCGAATTTGAACGTATTTATGTGTATCGTCGAATGATACTTCCAAAACGCCGCGGTCTGCCTTGTTTGGATATTGGATTCGGATTGAAAATGAAATTGGAACACGGGAGATTGTCTTTAAAATAATAATAAATATATTCTGATGATAATGCCGGATTGTACAGTTTTACACGAAGTTTGGTATTTTGAATGGACTGTATTTTAGTTGAAGTCGGAACTGTAACTAACTGGAAAATTGGGAAGTCGCAGCTTTTATGTGCGTGGAAGTCAGGAGATTCTCGGTGATTGGTTGTTGTGCGGTGGAAGGGATGACTCTTCGGAACGGTGCTAGGATTGGCTAGAAATTGGAAGGGAAGGGAGCGGTTAAGCGGGAAGCGTTGGGATTGGTTTGGCGCAGGGTGGAGGAGAAGGGGTCGCTGGGACTCAAGTGAGTCGGAGTGCGTCAAGATCCCCTGGAGTGTTGGCGACGGATTGTCGGGATAGGGATTAGGTGCATCAAGGCTTCCTGGGGTGTTGGCGACAGACTGTCGGGACTAGGGATTAGCAATACCCAAATATTATGAGTGGTTTATGAGGCCAGGTGCAAGCCTTGAATCATGGAATGAATATTGATGGGTACTAATGATGGGGAACTACGTGAGAAAATAGAGGCTCAGGAACAATTACCGGGGAAATACGCGAGGAAATAAATGTTCAGAAACAATAGTCTAGGAAATTCCAGGAAAGTTGTGAATTTGGCAGCTGCTAGCAAAATATTGAAAATAAAAGAAATGTATGAATAAACGATTCATGGAATTGATCCTCACGATTCAACATTCTCCCCCGTTGAGAGGCTTGTCCGATCAAGCGTAGCTGCCGTGCTCTCGGGTTGGTCATGTGTTGGTTGACGGCTGGTGGCATAGGGCTCCACAGGTAGGACGGCCAATTCTTGACATTGCGCGTATAGACACCTGAGGCTGTCTTCACTTTGACAGTCCTGATGATTCCATCCCCACCTGGATGGACACTGATGACTCTCCCCAATTTCCACTTGAGGGAAGGTAGATTGTCGTCTCGGATGATAACAATGGAATTCTCCTTGATATCGTGTTCACCTCTCTTCCACTTCCTTCTGATGTTCAATTCGTTGATGTATTCCTTGTGCCAACGACTCCGGAAATCTTGCTTCAATTTCTGGACGTGTTGCCAAGAGGACAAGCGGTTGCTTGGAGTCTTGATGAAATTAGGCTCAGGAATGTTCGTGAATGCGTCACCGATGAGGAAATGAGCCGGAGTGAGAGCAGAGAGATCGTTGGGATCTGATGACATAGGAGTCAGGGGACGAGAGTTTAGGATGGCTTCGATCTCGGCTGCCAGCGTAATGAGATCTTCGAAACTCAATAGGGTGGTTCCAGCGACTCTGAGTAGATGATGTTTGAAGGATTTCACCGCCGCTTCCCAGATACCTCCCACATGAGGTGCTTGGGGTGGGATGAAATGCCAGGTAATCCCTCTCTCTGCAACATAGCTATTGACCTCCTGCTGCAGCTTCTCGGAGTTTAGGAGCTGGTATAACTCCTTCAACTCATTGCAAGCACCCTTGAAATTTGTTCCGTTATCTGAAGAAATCACAGAGCACATGCCTCTCCGGCTGATGAAACGGCGCAGAGCGGCAAGGAAGGCTTCTGACGTCATGACACTCACGACCTCGATGTGTACAGCCCTGGATGAGAGACACACGAATATGGCGACCTAGGCCTTGATTCGGCCACGATTGCGGAGCTTCTTCTCCTTCACGAAAAATGGATCACAGTAGTCCACACCGGTATTGTAGAATGGTCGTGTTGCTGTCACCCTTTCTCTCGGTAGTACGCCCATCTGATATTCAACATCAGGAGGTTTAGCACGGATGCATCGGTGACAACTTTTGATGACTTGGCGAACTCGGTTTTTTCCATCCAACAACCAAAAGCGTTCGCGGATGCTGTAAAGGGTGCTCTGGATTCCAGCGTGTAGGCAGTTGCGATGTTCCCATTCGATAATCAATCGCGTAGCAGCAGAATTTTTGGGTAGCACGAGAGGGTGTTTCTGATTGAATGGTAAATCAGAACGTTGAATTCTGCCTCCCACTCTGATTAGACCATCAGAGTCGATGAAAGGATTCAGCTGGAGCAGTGGACTAATTGACTTGACTGATTTGATGTCCTTGAGATCAGCCAACTCCTTCTTGAAATGATCACCTTGAATCAGCCTCATGGTAGGAATGAAGGCACGTTGGATCTCTGCGGCTGAGATGAACTTCTCCTTGGGACGATCTTCCTTATGGACTCTCCAGCGTAAAATCCGAGCGATGATTTTCTGGATCTTGATGATGGATGAATGTCTCGTGAAGAGTTCAATGAGACGACACTTAGAAATCTTGTACCCCACGGTGGTGAGACAAGTCTGTTTGCGAGTCTCTGGCACTTGATTAGGGAACGATAGTGGTAGAGAAGGCCACTCCTTCTCTCCCCCGGTGAGCCATGGTGGTCCACTCACCCAGAGATGATTCTTCAGGAACTCGGAAGGTGATTGTCCCCTGAAGATGGCGTCGGCAGGGTTCTCGTGCGTTCGGACGTGTCTCCAATCTCTAGCGTTGGTCCTTTCTTGAATCTGTGTCACTCTGTTTTTCATGAAAGTTTTCAGTGATTCAGATCTAGTGTTGACCCAATGCAGCACAGTGGACGAATCTGTCCAGAACACAACACGATCAATATTCACATTGATGGTTTGACACACGGTCGAATACATTTGCGCGAGTAACAGCGCGGCACACAGTTCAAGTCGCGGTATCGTTTGAATGTTTTTCAACGGAGTCACGCGCAATTTTGCACACAGCAGTTGAGAGTCCACACGGTTGTCACTGGAAGTAGTCCTGACGTAAATGCACGCACCGTAAGCCTTCTGGCTCGCATCACAGAATCCGTGTAATTGGACGTCCTTGACACTATCTTGCAGAACCTTACGTTTGAACGCAAGGTCGTTGAGAAGAGGAAGTTCATGGGCAAACTCTTGCCATCTCGTTTGAACGTCCTTCGGCACAGATTCATCCCAATTGAGGTTGAGACGCCACAGATCCTGCTTGATGAGCTTTGCCTGGACCACCACTGGATTGAGTAATCCAAGAGGATCAAATATCCTCGCGACGTCTGATGAAATTGTTCTCATCGTTGTCTTGTCCTTTGTAGCGATGGGACACACTGAATAAATGACTTCATCACGGTTGAAATTCCATCGTACACCCAATGTTTTCAACGTTGAGTTGTCTCCATTGAGCAATTGAAGGTTGACAGTGGAGTCCGGGAGTCCTTGAAGAAGCTCTGGATGATTTGAAGCACACTGACGAAGATTGAAACCACCACACTTTAGGAGAGAGATCAAATCATCACGAAGCTGCACTGCTTCTCCAAGAGTGTCTGCACCGGTGGGCACATCGTCCACGTAGAGGTCTCGTTTTAAGACCGTTGAGGCAATTGGATACCTCTCTCGTTCATCGTCGGCCAGTTGTTGGAGGCATCTGACAGCCAGGTAAGGCGCAGAAGCTACTCCGAAGGTGACTGTCTGGAGTTCATAGGCCGCTACCTGATCATTGTCGTCTCTCCATAGGATTCTCTGGTACTTGCGATCATCAGGGCGTACCAGTACTTGACGGTACATTTTCTCGATGTCTCCCGTTAAAACGTAGTTGTGAAACCTGAATCGCAAGATGAGGGAGAATATGTCATCGTGAATAGTCGGCCCGACCATGAGCGCATTGTTGAGAGACACCTTGGTGCTGGAGGCAGCGGAAGCGTCAAACACCACACGAACCTTAGTAGTAAGGCTGGTTTCTTTGATCACTGAATGATGTGGGAGATACAAGCCCTCTTCTATCTCGTCTTCCACCTTCTTCATGTGCCCCAGTTGCATGTACTCTTCTAATACTGCGGAGTATTGCCGTTTGAAATCTGGATTCTGCTTGAAACGTCTCTCCAGCCCGTAGAGTCTTTGTTCAGCTTGCCTGCGAGAGGAGCCGAGTTGGTGCATCTTGTTGTTGAATGGGAGAGCGACCACATATCGCCCTTCCTCATTCCTCGTCACATGATTGAGGAAGTGTTCCTCACACAGATTCTCCTGTTCCGACGGCTCGTGAGATTGAAGCCCATCTTCAATTTCCCAGAACCGTTTCACTTCGTCCAGGAGACACAGATGATTGCACCTTGCAACGTGGGCATTGCTGCCCGGCACGTTGCCACCGATGATCCAACCGAACACAGTTTTTTGGAGAATGAGGTCTGAGTCTTGCGTTGAGGACAACTTGATTTGACCTCCACTGAGAGCTGCCAACGAGGTACCTGATCCGATGATGAGATCCACTGCTGCTGGCTTGTGGAATTCTGGATCAGCCAATTTGATGTTCCCAGGTATGCCTAGAAGATGAAGAGGCACTTGCTGAGCAGGAGTACGCTTGAAAATTATGGGCACGATGCGAAAATGGAGCTCTCTCTTGAAGTCATTGGAACACGATTGAATTTTAGCGGAAGTGGAGTGATGAGACATTGTTGTGTTGTCATTGATGCTCCCGACTGGAACTGCCATCTTTATTTTCTTCAGGCTCAGTTTTGCTGCGAGATCACTGGTAATGAAGTTTGTAGATGATCCCGTGTCGAGTAAAGCACGGCAGAGCTCTGGCTTCTGCTGATTGCCAAACACCTTGACGATCGCAGTGGTGATTAAATCATCTGATATCTCCAGTTTGAATGCTATTGCCGCTGGCTCTGCTGCTACACTCTCACCCGAGTGTAGTCATGCTGATGAGTTTGAAGATGGTGGAGATGTTGAATCGATTGGAGATATTGGAGTGGTGTTTGACTCTGGCTTGGATTCTCGATGGAGGAGTGTGTGATGGCGTTTTTTGCACTTCTTACACTTGTAGTCACTGATGCACTTAATCACACCATGCCCACGGCTCAAGCAGTTGTAGCATAAACTCAGGTTGCTTGCAGTTTTCTCACGTTTGGGGACTGGCATCTTCAAGAAGTCTCCACAATCCATCACTCTGTGCTCCCCTGAGCACACTGCATACCCCTTTTGATACATTGTTGCGAATGATTGGGTCTTGGAATTTGCCTGACCTTTTGAATTCCTTGGTCGTTCCTTGGTTATCACTGACGAAGTTGTTGGTTGGATTGCACTGGAGCAGGTACCACGTACTTCGAGAAATTCGAGTAATGAAGTGTATGAACACATTCCCTTGTTTTTCAACTCGGTTTCCCACTGGTGAAAAGTCTGAGCACTGATTTTACAGGATATTAAATGGATGATCCAGGCATCCCACTTGTCGATTGGTTGTCCCAGGTTCTTCAAAGCACTCAAATGTTGACGCACGGTGTCAACTAGATCCTCAAGAGCGTCTGGGGTATCTCGTTGTAGTTTGGAGATTGACTTCAGGAGTCCGATATGCCTCAAGATGTTCTTTCTTGGATTATCGTACTTGTTCTTCAGCAAATTCCATGTATCTTCGTAATTTTGTTGTGATCCTCCCATTGATGCCACAGCTCGTTTTGCCTTCCCGGTGACATTGGCAAGCAAGTATTGTAGCTTGTAAACTTCAGCAACAGAATCGTTGTTGTGGACCGATGTTTCAAATTTATCCTTGAATTCGGCCCAGTCTTCGATGCTACCATCGAATGTAGGTAAATTCAGCTTTGGGAGTCTCAGCTGTTGTTGAAGAGGAGCGTTGATTGGCGTGTGTGCACTCATGAAGCTGTTGTGTGGAGTTAGAAGCTGGGCAGTACTGTTCGTTGCTGCTCGTTCTATCTCTGCGGTCTTCCGCATGAGTTTCTGGGCTAATGCTAAGCCTTTCTCCAGATCTGCTTCGATTTGTTTGAGCTCCGATTTGTTAGTTGGAGCCTGTTCCTCTGTGTCTTTATACATGATTTTGTCATGGATATTCGACAAGGATTCTATTTGCTGTTTAATGCTGTCTCGTTTCACCTCGACCTCATCAAAATCTGGATTTTCACGCACTGATTGTAGCCACTGGGTAGAGGCTGTGGCACGTTCTTTTATTTCTTCTCGTTTGCGAAGAAGTGTTACGAGTGCAACTGGTGCCATTTCGGTTGGCTCACTAATATTCACTATTTGACTACTCGATTGAGGATTTTGGGGATCGATACGCATTAATGTTTTTGAATGTTCTTTCTCCCCCGGTCACTACCGATGTGGAGAATCACGACACGTCACTTACGCAATGTGAAGACAGAAAGCACAAACACGGACACACGGACACGGTTTCACGTTGGAATGAATACACGAGAAATACTTTACAAATCCGGCTCGAAGGACCAAAAAATGTATCGTCGAATGATACTTCCAAAACGCCGCGGTCTGCCTTGTTTGGATATTGGATTCGGATTGAAAATGAAATTGGAACACGGGAGATTGTCTTTAAAATAATAATAAATATATTCTGATGATAATGCCGGATTGTACAGTTTTACACGAAGTTTGGTATTTTGAATGGACTGTATTTTAGTTGAAGTCGGAACTGTAACTAACTGGAAAATTGGGAAGTCGCAGCTTTTATGTGCGTGGAAGTCAGGAGATTCTCGGTGATTGGTTGTTGTGCGGTGGAAGGGATGACTCTTCGGAACGGTGCTAGGATTGGCTAGAAATTGGAAGGGAAGGGAGCGGTTAAGCGGGAAGCGCTGGGATTGGTTTGGCGCAGGGTGGAGGAGAAGGGGTCGCTGGGACTCAAGTGAGTCGGAGTGCGTCAAGACCCCCTGGGGTGTTGGCGACGGATTGTCGGGATAGGGATTAGGTGCATCAAGGCTTCCTGGGGTGTTGGCGACAGACTGTCGGGACTAGGGATTAGCAATACCCAAATATTATGAGTGGTTTATGAGGCCAGGTGCAAGCCTTAAATCATGGAATGAGTATTGATGGGTACTAATGATGGGGAACTACGTGAGAAAATAGAGGCTCAGGAACAATTACCGGGGAAATACGCGAGGAAATGAATGTTCAGAAACAATAGTCTAGGAAATTCAAGGAAAGTTGTGAATTTGGCAGCTGCTCTCAAAATATTGAAAATAAAAGAAATGTATGAATAAACGATTCATGGAATTGATCCTCACGACTCAACATATGGATGCAATGCTTTGAATTCAACACCGCGCCTTTAAACAAGCGTCGAATTTTTCTCTGTACTAAAAAGGTATTTTGTTTCAGCGAGCAGTCCTTGAATTCATAACAGTCGGATACTGAAATCAAGAACCGTTCTGGAGATAAGAACCGTTCGTTACTTGAATCAAGAATTCTTGACTGATGGGAATAATACCCTGGAAATTTTTTAATTGGCATCTTTATCCTTTCAAAATATTTTTGTTCATTACCGTGTAGCATCACAACCGAGGCAGCCGTTTCTCATCCCCGTCACCAACCGTCAACAATTATAAAACTCGTTCCTGTTCTCAATTGCATGACGTAATATTTGAATGGCCCCAACGGTTCATAATTTTGTAAACCAAAGGTTATTATTGTAAGAACCCAACATACTGGTTTCGAGAACCGAGGGTGCCTAGAAATACGACAAAATATGCTTCAATTCAAGTGTAATGAATACTGGATTTCAATAAAATCGATTAAAGACTAGAACTTTTTGCTTTGCTACTTAGAGGAAATTATCTTAGAATAAGGGAAATCCAGGATTTCTCTGAACTTCATCAACTTTTGCTTCCGAGTAGAAGCATTGTATTCGTCAAATCTGAAATTTCCATTTTTTGTGTGAATATTCCATTTTTTGCTTTCGAATATGCTGTTTTTAGATCATGTCCGTGTGTATGTATGTATGTATGTGAGCTTTTTTTTCAAATTTACTTTTTCGACGATCATTCAAAAAATAATCGTCGAAATCTTTTTAATTATGGCTTAAAATATTCGTTCGGATATTATCTCGATCGAGTTCAAAGATAGTGTCGATCGCCTCATTTGTATTTACATTATAGTTTAATCATGGTTTAGTCGGGATTCAATCAGAGTTTAGTCACAGTTTAATCGGCGTTTAGATATAATTTAGTCGGAGGTTAATCGGGGTTTAACCAAGGTTCTGTCAAGATTTAATGTTGTTATATGAAAAGTATTTTGGTGGAATTTTGGCAGGTTGATAATTCAGCAACACTGTAGGTTTGTAGATAACAAGTTTAAAGTATTTATTCAATGATTAACTTGAGTGTAGTATTAAACTAATTGAATACAAAAAGGCGTTAACTTCAGAATATAATTCAATAGCTCACTGTGCACTTGAATAGAAAAAATGGTTGAAAGTAACGAGTGAGTTATGTAATACATTGAGTACAGCGCTCATTACATGAACTAATATGTACATGATTAATCTCAGCGCTCTAACTTATCGATGTTCAATAAGATGTTATCCTCAATACTCCCCCTCATCTTATACTCCATATCATTTAGCAAATACCATAATGTTTTAAATTTTTCCAATTTCTCAGCTGGCAAAGGCTTAGTTAAAGGATCAGCTAACTGCAGATTTGTTGATACATATTTAACATCAATTTTTCCTTCAACATACTGATCACATGTATAATAAAATTGTGTATCTATGTGCTTTGTGCGTTTAGTTGAATCACGATTCTTAACGAGTGTAATTGCTCTTTGATTATCACAACACACATCAGTCGATTCTCTTTGGTAACAATTCAAATCATTTAACAAATGTCTCAACCATACAACCTCTTTAGTTACAGAACATAGAGGAACAAACTCAGCTTCAGTAGTTGATGTTGCAGTAACTGTCTGCTTCCTAGCACTCGAACAAATAGGACCAGAATTCAAAAAACCTATCCAACCTGTTGCACTACGTCTAGTATCAATATCCCCAGCTCAATCAGCATCACAGTAAGATATCAACTTTGTATCATTAGAATTTGTACAAAAAGTGATTCTCTCATTCATTGTTCCTGTAAGATATTTGAAAATTCTTTTAATACCATTCCAATGAGTAATAGTTGGATTTTCCATGAATCTACTGAGAACACCTACATTATATGCCAAGTCTGGTCTTGTTCCAATCATTAGATACATGAGTGAACCTACAGCCTCACGATAAGGAAAATTTCATTTGTCTTTTGTCTCAACACTGACTCGACTAAATTTCATACCAGGTTCTGCAGGTGTTGATACTGGTGCTGAATTAATAAAGTTAAATCTCTCTAGAATCTTCTTACAATAAGCACTTTGGTGCAATTTAACAATACCAGCATCCAGATCTCTCTCAACTTGAATACCAACAAAATACTCTGCATCTGAATACGTTGTCTTAAATTTGTCATGCAATTCTTCCAATAATCTTTTCATCGATTTCAAATTATTTCCACACAACAGTCCATCATCAACGTATAAAACAAGATATAAACATTCTTCAATTTGATTTGATAAATACAAAAAAATACATGGATTTGACCTTGATTGCATTAGACCAAAACTGCACAGAAAATTTACGATTTTCTTATTCCATTGACGTGGTGCCTGCTTCAGTCCATACAAGCTCTTTTTGAGTAAACATACTCTATCGTCCT